CTGGATGTGGCTTCTCTTCTTCTCTTCCCCCGCCCCCTCAGATACAGGAAGAAGAAAAAATTTGGAAACACTGGTCTCACCCACTTTTTCCTAATCCTAGACTCCTCCCACTCTAATTACCTATGTAAACATCAACAAATTTTTTAAAAATGAGAAATTATAATGGGAAAAAATTTCTTAGGGCTGTTATACAAGGTACAGATGTGAGAACAAAATAATTTTTTGTCATATATAAACTTTTACAGAAAGCAAAACAGTTGCAATTCACTAAAAAAGGAGTTGTGGTTTCCAAGAAGTGGGAGATGTTAACACAGAAGAGTAAATAGGTGAAAGTTAGGGTGGTCCTGCAAGCCAGGATGGTGCAAGCCTGAGAAATACTCAGCAATTTACACCCTAGAAGGGTGACTATCCACCAGTCTACATCATTAGGACATCCCGGAAGGCAGGAGGGGAACGAGCTGTTAAAAGATGAGAGGAAACCGGCCTGAGGCCGTCCACAACAGGTGGGCGGGGTACTGCAAGGAGACTCAGCAGCGAATCCCAAGGAACCAATGAATTTAGATAGGAATAACCCCCTGGGCACCCCCGAGCTGCTTTCCGGGCGTCCCTGGCGCGTCCCCCGGGCGCCCGCACTACACTTCCCAGGAGGCCTTCGGCAGACGCGCCTTCGGACGCCGCAGCTCCTGCGTGGAGCCGCAGCAGTGGCGGCGACGCGCGTGACGTCAGAGCAGCGCCGGCGCAGGGCGTGGGGCTCGGCCGCGGGCGGTGAGTCCCGGCCGGCTGATCGCGAACCGGGATCGCTTCGCCTACCGAACCTTCTGGTGGGTCCTGCGAGTGTCGGTGCATCGCGGCGAGATCCGTGTCAGTCCTCCGGCCAGGACGGTGACCCCCTCGGGAGCCCGTGGCATCGGCCGCGGCGCAGTCCGCCTTCCGCGCGGGTCGGGGCGCGGCGTCCGGCGTCGCTTTGCCTTCCCTCTGGCCGCGGCTGTCAGGGCGAGTGGGAGGGCGCCTCGCCACTGAGGGAAACCCGGGCAGAGGACGCGCGTGGCGGGCTGCTGCCCCGTGACGGCTTCCCGAAAGGCCGCTGGCCGCGTCGCCATCGCGGACCTTGTTGGCGGTTGTTGACTGAGGGACTGAGCGGTTGGCGCCCCGCGAGAGGCGTCCGCCGGCTTGGCGCGGGGCCCCGGTGCGGCCCCTGCTTTCCTAGGGCTTGAGGCGGGAGCTGGGTCCCAGGTGGAACAGCCACGGTTTAATGTGCTGTGCCACTGTGCCAACGCGTCTGGATTTCTGTTGGATTAATCTGAAAATGCTGGCAGGTTGTGTTATGTTTGTGAGAGAGGCAGGGTGCATGTTAGAAAGGCAAGGGGTGTGTGTGTGTGAGAGAGAGTGAGAGAAAGGCTGTGTGTGTGTGTGTGTGTGTGTGAGAGGGAGGCAGGGTGTGTGTGTGTGTGAAAGAGGGAGGCAGGGTGTGTGTGTGTGAGAGGGAGGCAGGGTGTGTGTGTGTGAGAGGGAGGCAGGGTGTGTGTGGGTCTGTGTGTGTGAGAGGGAGGTAGGGGGTGTGTGTGTGTGTGAGAGTGAGAGAAAGGCAGGGTGTGTGTCTGTGTGTATGAGATGGAGGCAGGGTGTGTGTGTGTGTGTGTGAGAGTGAGAGAAAGGCAGGGTGTGTGTGTGTGTGTGAGAGTGAGAGAAGGCAGGTGTGTGTGTGTGTGTGTGTGTGAGAGGGAGGCAGGGTGTGTGTGTGTGTGTGTGAGAGTGAGAGAAAGGCAGGGTGTGTGTGTGTGTGTGAGAGTGAGAGAAAGGCAGGGTGTGTGTCTGTGTGTATGAGAGGGAGGCAGGGTGTGTGTGTGTGTGTGTGTGAGAGTGAGAGAAGGGCAGGGTGTGTGTGTGTGTGTGTGTGTGTGTGAGAGGGAGGCAGGGTGTGTGTGTGTCTGTGTGTATGAGAGGGAGGCAGGGTGTGTGTGTGTCTGTGTGTGTGAGATGGAGGCAGGGTGTGTGTGTGTCTGTGTGAGAGTGAGAGGCAGGGTGTGTGTATGTGTGTGTGTGTGAGAGAGAGGCAGGGTGTGTGTGTGTCTGTGTGAGAGTGAGAGAAAGGCAGGGTGTGTGTGTGTCTGTGTGAGAGACGGAGGCAGGGTGTGTGTGTGAGAGAAAGGGAGACAAGGTTTGTGTAAGAAAAAGGGATTTATCAGAGCGAGGGATTTAGGGTATGTGTGTGTGTGAGAGAGAGAAAAGGAGACAGTGTGTGAGAAAGGCAAGGTATGTGTGTATGAGAGAAAGGGACTTAGGGTGTGTGTGTGTGAATGAGAAAGGCAGGGTGTGTGTGTGAGGCAGAAACCTGACTACTAGAGCTGCCAGTGCTGCATGTCGGGACCTCTCGGTGGAGCTGAACTGAACTCTATTCCAGTGTGGCATGTGGGTGTTTCATCTACTAGAACGGATGCCTACATCCAAACCTGTTTTTTTTTTCCTTGTTGTTTCCCTTAGGAACTTTCATGTTATTTGAAAGTATCATTCATTTGTTCAGAGTTGAGGGAGAAAGTTTCTGTTAAAGGCAAACTCGTGAAATGATGACTTCCCTTGGTTTTCTTCAAGTAGCAAGTTAAGCACCAAAGCTTTGTTTTTTTGTAAGAACACTGGTTAATATTGCTGTACTGCTTACAGTATTTTACTTTCAGCTGCAGTACTCTTTCTAGCACTTTAGTCTTCTGTGACATTAGATTTGTACTTAGTGTGGTAGGGATTTCCGTTGTGCTAAATATGTTTCTCTGACTCAAGACTAACATCCAAAAACATGATTTTTGCCTTTTCCCACGTAATACCTGTGTTCTTCCTTGTCTTACACAGCATTTTATCATGAAGTTTGAGTATGTAGGTAAATTAGAACTATGTGGTGAATATTTATGAACCTCTGATCTGGACTCTACTGTTGATATTTCACTATGCTTAATTATAATCTATCTATCTGCATCCATTACTTTTCAAATAAATTGTGAACATCTATACATTTTCCCTAAAAACTTCAAAATGTGTAAATATTATCTAAAATTAGGTTTTTCTTTGATGTAAAATTTGTGTGAAATGCATGCATTTTAACTATGAATTTGGTAAGTTCTGAGAAGTGGACCATTCTTCAAAGAATTATTTACTTTTAATTGAAAGGCAGATTCAGAGAGAAAAAGAGGGTCAGATTTCTTCCATCCCCTGGTTTACTCTCCAAATGGCCACATTTGGGTTCAGCTGAAGATCCACATGGGAGCAGAGGCTGAAGCTCTTGGATCATCTTCCTCTGCTTTCCCAGGCCATAAGCAGGAATCCAGATCCGAAGGGGAGCATCGGGTACTTGAACTGGCACCCATATGCAATGCTGCCACCACAAATGGAGGCTTAGCCTGGTATGCCATGACACTATCTCCAAGAAGTACATCATTCTTTTAAAAAAAAAAAATATTGGAAAGTCAGATATACAGAGAGGAAGAGAGACAGAGAGGAAGACCTCCTGTCTGATGATTCACTCCCCAAGTACCACAGTGGCTAGAGCTACGCCGATCCGGAGCCAGAAGCAAGGAGCAAGGAGCTCCTCCGGGGTTCCCACACAGGTGCAGGTTCCCAAAGATTTGGGCTGTCCTTGACTGCCCTGCCAGGCCACAAGCAGGGAGCTGGATGGGAAGTGGAGCCACCAGGATTAGAACCGGTGCCCATATGTGATCCTGGCGCATTCAGGGCGAGAACTTTAGCCACTAGGCCATTGCGCCAGGCCCAGAAGTACACCATTCTTGGCTTTCATAGCTTGAAATATGTCTTGACCATCTCTGCTGGCCCCAAAATTTTAACTTCCTGGCTGCTGGATCCTTTTTACTGATTTTTTTTTTTTGCCCTTTCTTTACAGATGCAAAACTGCTAAACTTAGAATTTAAAGAGATCCCATTTTCTTTGATTAAAAATTAAGTGTTCCATGTGTCTGTCTCTCCCTCCTCTTTCCAGAGGCACCCCACCTCCTGGCTTTCTGGAGGTGCTTTCTACTTCTCTCTCCCTTCCCTGCTCACCTGGTCCCTTCAAAAATAAACTTTTCTGTCAGAAAAAAAAAAAAAAAGTGTTCCATGTGTCTGAGAGAAACACATCCTTTGGCTAGGTCTTGTCCAGTTGTGGGTCCTGACCCTTAGTACTGGTTGAAACAGATTCCTTGGAAAGCAGAGAAGTTAATATTGTGGGTGTTAGGTAAATATTGACAGTTGCCAGATATCCCAATGAATATGAAATAGCAAGTACCAGATTAGCATCATTCTAGGATGGAGAGATCGGTCCTAATTCCCAAATGGTTTGTTTTCTTATAAAGGAGACAAATAGTTACTGATAGTGTCAGGAAAATGTTCAAGGGCCAGAACAGAGGGCCTGGCAAAGAGCTACTGATTGGTGCAAGAACAACACAAAGGACCATGACCAAGGGGGATAATAGTAAGTCTTAGAGGAGATGAAACAAGGGCAGTGGGAATTCAGTTGAAAAGCTGTTAGGATCCAGAAAGCCATGAAGCCTGTATACTTAGCATGATCAGGCCTGTGCCTTCCTGCTGAAGCTGGAAGCTTTCAGCTCATCTGTGCCTTGGAATAGACAGATTATCCCCAGGACCAGTGACTATCATACCTTCTCTTGCAAGACAGAATTTGCAGATATGCTTCTACCGAGGACTTTAAGGTAGGACGAAATTGCCTTGGACTATCTCCAAGTTGTTTTTTTTTTTTTTTAAAGATTTATTCATTTTTATTGGAAAGGCAGATTTACAGAGAGGAGGAGAGACAGAGGAAGATCTTCCGTCCGATGGTTCACTCCCCAAGTGGCCACAACAGCTGGTGCTGAGCCAATCCATAAGCCAGGAGCCAGGAGCCTCTTCCAGGTCTCCCTCGTGGGTACAGGGTCCCAACGCTTTGGACTGTCCTCGACTACATTCCCAGGCCACAGGCAGGGAGCTGGATGGGAAGTGGGACACCGGGATTAGAACTGGCACCCATATGGGATCCTGGCGCATTCAAGGCTAGGACTTTAACTACTACACTATTGTGCCAGGCCCTATCTACTAGGTTTAGCATAAGGTGATACTCGGGGAGAAAGAGGCAGCCCTGCCAATACCTGGATTTTAGTCCTCTGAGACCCATGTTGTACTTGGGAATTCCAGAGCTATCATGCGGTAAATGTGTGTTGATGACAAAAATAGAAAGCCAGTATGTCTCTCCGTACCCAAAGTTCACCAAAGTAAAGATGGTCTCTCTTTGTGTTTGTGTTTTTTCACCTCAGTAGAATTACAGAATGATGATAAAGTAATGCCTTACGAGTGGGACAGTGCACTCTCTAAATGTGACTTCTCATTCACAATGTTGAGTTACTGTTTATCTCCTTTAGGTTTTCGATTTGAAGGCTTAAATAATGGGAGAAAAATCCCCTCTTTGCCAGGTAAAGGTCTTGACGTGGATGGCTTTTGTTGTGCTTTCCGATGCCCTGAATTAGGCCTTGTGTTGTTTGCATTTCCATGAGACAGTCACCCTGGTTTGCTACTTGGATGTCTTTTTTTTTCCTAGTTTACTTTGAGACCTAGAGTGGGAAGTGGGGGTGAGTGGGGAGAAGGTGGGGGCATCTCCCATCCACTGCTACATTCCCAAAGTCAGTAACTGAGAACTCAACTTTAGTCTCCCCCATACGTGGTTGGAACCCAGTTATTTAAGCTATCATCTGCAGCCACCCAGGGTACACATTGACAGGGAACTGGAATTTGGGAGCATAGCTGGGACTTGAGCCAGGCTCCCTGGTGTGGGATGAAGAGGTTCCAGTGGTCTCAAGCATGAGGCCAAGCGCCTGTACCCTAAGTGCCTTTGCTCTTGTGTCTCACAGATTGGTCCTTGTCTTTCTTCAATGTGCCTTGTCCCCCTGGGACGATTATTGGGTTTGATAGCATCAGAAATGCCTTTTCTTGTTTTGTTTCCTACACAGCAGCAACCCAAATAGGAAGATGGACTCTGAGCTCTGCGTTGTGACCCAGGAAAGGGCACTGTTCCCTAAAGGTCAAGGTTGATTATGTCACTGTGGTCAACACAGGAAGAAAGAACGCTGGACGTCATTAGGTAGAGATCTGAAATATGAAATACTTTCCTGTATAGAGTTACATTTTTCTGTTACCATTAAGTGAACTGAGGTTACCTGGAAGGTTATCCTGTCTCAGCATCCTAACCTCTGGGGGCTCAATGTCACTGTGCTCCTGCCTTCTGTTGCCTGCTGTCCTCCTGGCTCTCATACCTTGTTCTCCCTGTACCTTTGAAGGTTCCCTCAGTCTTTACATGAGACATACTTTTCTACATATGCAGTGCTTATCCATACGACTTTCAACCAGATTTTGCTGTCTTCTTCTCCTTGCTAGAGGTTCTCCATAGCCTTAGCTTATCCTTGTCAGCTGCTTTTGCTAACATACCATTACATGACACTGTCCTTCATCACTGTCCTCAAGTAACACCAACTCTGAGGCTTCTCTCTTCTGACATACAGCCTGGTTTCCTGTTTTGGATTAGGGTTAGGGTTAGTGCCTGCTGTTGACATTGTACCTGTCCTAACTTCCAGGAGGTAGAAAGGAATGAAGCGTACTCTTTTTCTCAGCCTGATCTCTGCATTGGAGCTTTTGACCCATCCCTCCTCTTCTCTCCTTCTGTCTCCTTGAGGACCGGCTTTTCTTGTCTGTTACTTCCTTCCTAAGCTTACAAACAGGTAAAGAGCTCCAGCTTAACCCTCCCACCCACCTCTTCTAGCTCTGTCCTTTCTGTCCTCCTTTCTCTACCTCTAATCTTTGTAAACTTACCATGGAGTTTGTCTCCTGGCCACCAGTGTGTTGAAATTGCTCTCGCCGAATAATTACTGAACCCTTATCTAACCAATCCCACACATTTCAGCCCTTAATTGATTAGGTTTATTTTGATCATGCCCTTCTCTTTTATAACCCTCCACTGTCTGGTGGTTCTTTCCCTGTCGTCTTTGTTGGTTTCTGTTTTTTGTTTGTTTGTTTGTTTGTTTTTCTGTTTGCTTCCTAAATTAGGCTGAATGAAACCTTTGCAAGCTATTTGTGTTTCAGGTCATAAAATGGAAATGCCATTGGAATGGATGTTAAACATGAATCTAAACTGGAGATCATACTCTTTTAAAAATAAGTTTGAATTAAAAAATATTGATGATCACAAGTTTTCTGCCTCTAGACAGCCTTTTTATTTCTGGTTATGCCATTTGGTTAACAGTATCTCATTATATTGACTTGTGACTGGTTTGTGACTCCACTTATTTGTTCTGATTCTTTCTTTTGGAACAACTCAGAATAAATACCACAGTTTCACAGAACCTATAAATGTGTGGAAAGCCATTTTCTTGCTTCCTTCAAGTTTCTGTGTGCAAGCTGAACATCTCTGTCTACATTAGCTTTTACTCACCTTGAAAAATAGGCTCTGTCAGAGAGAGCTCTGTGTCTGAATGGCCACTGCTCTTAAGTAGTACATAGCATTTGGACTCATTCAGTGTCTTACGCAAGAATTAATGAATAAACCATATGGGATCATCGCATCACTTTTTGCTCACTGTAGCATCCTGACTCTTATTCTTCTGAAAATTCCTTACGAATACATCTAGAGCATCAACTTCTGTTTCTTAATTCCCTTATTAGCATGTTTGCTGCCTTTGCTATCTATTAAAATTTGTAACTAATTATTTCTGGAGACCAGATTAAAAAATAGGATATCTTTGACAAGAACCAACCATTTTCCTGGTGTGGTTATCCCGCTCCCTGGAATGAAAGGCCCCTCCCCTGTGCCCCTGTAGGACTCCTGTATCAGCTACCTGTATACACTAATACTACTGTACTCCTGTTTCTTCTGTGTTGCTTCTTGTTTTCCTGAAAGAGTAAACTAAACTTTCCTGGAGAAATTAGGGACTAACAGAAAACGTGATGATGCTGGTCTCTCAGAATTGTTATAGAGTATTACCAAAAGACACAAAAGGGAAGAATATTATTTGGGTAGGAATGGCTTACATACAAATGCTGAGGCAAGTCAAGAACAAAATGTGATGAGCAGACCTGGTTCAGTAGCTTGGTGGCTAAAATCCTCTTGTTGTATGTGCCAGGATCCCATATGGGCGCCCGTTCATATCCCAGCTGTTTCACTTACCTTCCAGCTCCCTGCTTATGACCTGCGAAAGCAGTAGAGGATGGCCCAAGGTCTTGGGACCCTGCACCAGGTGGGAACCTAGAAGCAGCTCCAGGCTCCTGATTTCACATAAGCTCAATTGTGACCATTGGGGCCATTTGAGGAGTGAACCAGTGGATGGAATATTTTTCTCTCTGTCTCTCCTCTCTGTAAATCGGACTTTCCAATAAAAAAATAAATCTTTAAAAATTTGATGGCATGGAAGGAGAAAGCTGTATCACAGAGGTTCCTGGAGCCATGCTGAGATCACAGACTATATTCCTGGAAGTCCTAGGAAGTCAGTGGAACTTGTGTGTTATAGAAATTCTGCTGTGTGAACATTGGTGGAATGAGAGAAACCAGGGTCAGAGTAGTCAGGGAAGCAAGTGAGAGCCTGATGCAGAGCTGTGGCTTAGGGCCCTGGAGGAAGAAGTGCTCACAGACATTTAGGAGAAAGAATTCACAGGTCCAGATGACTTAATGTTAAGAGGACACTAAAAGGCAACTGAGCTGCTGAGTCACTGTGGTATCATTAAAAATAATAATAATAACAAAAAAAAAGTTTAGGCATGCGTGTGTGTGTGTGTGTGTGTGTGTGTGTGTGTGTGTGTGTGTGTGTTTAATGATTTATTTATTTTTGAGCTTGTCTTGATGGCTTGATAGCTAAATCCTTACCTTGAAAGCTCTGGGTTCTTATATGAGTGCTGATTTATGTTCTAGCTGCTCCACTTCTCTCTCTCTCTTTTTAAAGATTTATTTATTTATTTTCTTATTGGAAAGGCAGATATACAAAGAGAAGGAGAGACAGAGAAGGAGATCTTCGTCCGATGGTTCACTCCCCAAGTGGCCGCAACGGCTGGAGCTGAGCCAATCTGAAGCCTGGAGCCTCCTGGTCTCCCTCGTGGGTGCAGGGTCCCAAAGTCTTGGGCTGCCCTCGACTGCTTTCCCAGGCCACAGGCAGGGAGCTGGATGGGAAGCAGGGCCACTGGGATTAGAACCGCTGCCCATATGGGATCCTACACTATCGTGCTGAGCCCCTGCCCCTCTTCTCATTCAGTTCCCTGCTTATGGCTTGGAAAGAGGATGGCCCAAAGCCTTGGGACCCTGCACCCATGTGGAAGACCTGGGAAAAACTCCTGGCTCCTGGCTTATGGATTGGCGCTGTTCCAGTCAGTACTACTATTTGGGGAGTGAATGAACAGGTGGAAGCGCTCTGTCTGCCTTCTGTGAATCTACTTTTCCAATAAAATAATTTTTAAAAGATGTTTTTTAAAGGCACCAGAAGCAGATTCTGGGTCTCCCATGTGAGTGCAGAGTCCCAAGAACTTGAGCCACCATCCTGTACTTTTCCAGGCCACAAGCAGGGAGCTAGGCCGGAAGTGGAGCAGCCAGGACATGAACCACTGTCCATATGGGATGCCAGCACTTGAAGGTGGAGGATTATCCAGTTAAGCTATTGCACTGGCCCTGTTGTGTGTTTCAGTTTTGATAACTCATCTGATTCTCATAGTTACTCTGTGAGATAGAAACTGCTCTAGCCCCACTCATTGTACAGTTGAATGAGGGACTGAGAGCAGCTACGTAGTAAGTGATGGAGCAAGGATTCAACTTAGACAGCCTGACAGCAGTCTATTCTCTTAAATTTTTTTTACTTAAAGTTACATTGAGAGGGAGAAGCAACGAAAGACACCTTCCAACTGCTGGTTCACTCCCCAGATGGCTGCAATGGCCCCAGCTGGACTGTTGAGCAGCTGGGAGCCAGCAGCTTCTTCCAGGTCTACCATGTGGATGTAATAGTCCAGAACCCTGAGCCGTTTTCTGCTGCTTTCCCAGGCCATCAGCAGGGAGCAGGATGGGTAGTGGAGCAGCTGGACCCGAAGCAGTGCTCATATGGGATGCCAATGCCACAAGCAGAAGATGAATCCATTAGGCCATTGCACTGTCCAGGATCTAGATTCTACCACACTTGGCAATAGGCACTGAGATTAGCATAACATGTTTTTGTTTATGCAAGTGTAAACAGACATGCTGTACCATCAGTTGGATCAAGGAATAGCATATACCATTGTATATTGTATATGATACTTGATTATAAATTATTTACTGATTTTGATTATTATTTTGCAGGATAGTCCTGCTTATAAAAATTTGACTGTAAGTGTACCATGTCACGTTTTCCATGCTCTTGACTACATGTGGAGGCCACATACATTGATTGGCCTGTATCACATAGGTCTGTGTACGTACACAGCAGTTGTTGCACAATGAGGTGTAGCTGTCCTGCAGTGATGGACTTGGTGCACAGAGCTGATAATAACATGCATGGACTCTGACTGATGTTCAAAAGCTGAAGTTTATTAGTGGCATCAGACGTTATAGACTGAGGGTCATGTGCGATAAGGGAGGATGTATTGAGCTTATCAACAAACTCCATCAACTGTTTCTATACTCTTGTTTGGAACTCTTGTTTTGTATATCCCACCAAGTGTTCAAATTCACATGCTGTCCACTCAGCTGTTCTCATACAAATGATATCCATTTAGGTATATGAATGTTACCCACTCCGTTTTTCTCATATAAAGGATATCCAATCAATTGTAATCCTGTGCTCCCTGACCTTTTAGGGTCACAATGTCCTACAATGAGGAAATCCTGTAACTGTTTTCTCTCTGATCTGCCCCTTCAGTTAAGTGACACCAGCATAGTCAGGAGACAGGTTATTGAAGTCTTAGAGTAAGAAGGACATAAAAATGAAAAAAAAAAAATCTGAAAGCTTTCAAATTACATGAAACTAAACCTACACACCAAGACATGCAAGGAACTGTGAACACAAGAAACATGAAGAAACTACACCAAGGAAAATTGTCCACAAATTACTCCAAAATACAAGAGAAGAATCTTGAAAGCAGCCAGAGGGAAAATGCGTGATCTAGAGAAAGGAGCAAAGGGTGCTGTCAGGTACGTTCACAGAGGCCTGGAAGGGAGACACCTTGGCAAAGAAGTCTTGAGCAACAAAGACAAGATAACCTCCACATGAGAAAATATTTGAAAGCTATATATAATAGTGGTTAAAATCTACAGTATATAAACAATTTGTTCAACTTAACAGAAAAATTATAATTTAAAAACAGGCAAAGGATGTGAATAAGCATTTCCTCAAAGAGGATATATAGTTGACCAGTAAACCTGTGAAAATAGTCAGTGGTCATGAGCCATTATGGAGAGACAGATCAGAACCACATCTACTATGATGACTAATTACTTTAAACTGGAATAATGTGTTAGCAAAGATGGGAGACATCAGCAGTCCCTCACACATTGTTGCTATTTATGTGAAATTGATACAGTCACAATCAAAAACAGTCTTTAGTTGTTCATTGAAAAATTAATCCAGGAGTTGTGGCTGTGGTAGAGCAGGTAAAGCCAGCACTTGCACTGCTAGCATCTCATATGGGAGCCGGTTTGAGTCCCAGTTGCTGTACTTCTGATCCAGCTCCCTACCGTGTGTCCCAGCAGCAAAGGATGGCCCAAGTGCTTGTGCCCCTGCATTCATATGGCATACGTCCTGGCTTTGGACCCTCTCAGCTGTGGCTGTTGCAGCCATTTAGAGAATAAACCAGTGGATGGAAAAGTTCTCTCTCTCTCTGCATTTCAAATAAATAAATCAGGCCTGATTTATTTATAACCTAGTAATAGCCTAGTGGTTATAGTCCTCTTCTTGCATGTGCCAGGATCCCATGGGGATCCCAGTTCTAATCCTGGCAGCCCCACTTTCCTTCCACCTCCCTGCTTGTGGCCTAGGAAAGCAGGAGAGGACGGCCCAAAGTCTTGGGACCCTGCACCGGCATGAAGACCCTGAAGAAGCTTCTGGGTTTGGATTGGCTTAGCTCCAGCCATTGCAGCCACTTGGAAAGTGAACCAGCAGATGAAAGATCTTTCTGTATCTCCTCATATATTTGATAATAAATAAATCTTTAAAATTTTTTTTTTAGGTAGCCCCAACCCCAACCAGCTAGTTTACTCCTGTTAAAACATGAAAGAATCTTGCAAACTGGTGTAGAAAAAGTAAACTAGTGACAAAACTGCAAAAATCCCAAATACCTTAATGCATACTATTAAGCATGACAAACTAGAAAATGGAAATGGTTAATTGGACTAAAGATGAATGGCAAGTTTTCATGAATGTTAAAGAAATGCTGTTGAGATATTGGATGGTATTTAGAATCAGTGATTGCACAACAATGGTGATGTAGTTAACACCACTCAACCTTAGAACAATTAGGATGAAGATTTTTTTTTAAGAATAATCTACTTTATTGCAAAGTCAGAATACTAAGAGGAGAGACAGAGAGGAAGATCCTCCAACTGATGGTTCACTTCCCAAGCGGCTGCAACAGCTGGAGCTGAGCCAATCCGAAGCCAGGAGCCAGGAGCTTCCTTTGGGTCTCCCATACGGGTGTAGGGTCCCAAGGCTTTGGGCTGTCCTCGACTGCTTTCCTAGGCCACAAGCAGGGAGCTGGATGGGAAGCAGGGCCTCTGGGACCAGAACCAGTGCCCATATGGGATCCAGGCACGTTTAAGGCGAGGACCCTAACCGCCAAGCCAGGATGGAAGATTTTAAAAAAATACTTCAATGCAATTTAAAAGCTGGAGATTGGACATGTAGCCTAAGAGCCTGCATCCCAATGAAGTACCTGTCCAGATCCAGATTCACATTCCAGTGTGCTGCTCGAGTAGACCCTGAAGGCCAGTGGTACTGGCCCCACCTCAATGTTGGCATCCAGGGAGTGAACAGCAAAATGGGTGCTCTCCTGTCTCAGCTTCTCAAGACCAACTACATGGGCTGGCATTGTGGTGTCGCAGGTTAAGCTGCCACTGCTGATGATGGTGGCATCCTGCTTTACTTCCAGTCCAACTGCTTTGTGAATCTAAGAAAGCAGGCTTGGGCCCTGCCACCTGAATAGGAGACTAGAATGGAGTTCCTGGCTCCTGGCTGCAGCCTGTCCCGGCTCTGGCTATTGGCAGCCATTTGGGGAGTGAACCAATGGATGAAAGATTTCTTTCTGTCCCTGCTTGTCCTCATTCCCATTGCCTTCCAAATAAATGATAAAGCCACTATGTAATATACTTGAAACTACTGAATTACACTATGTGGGTGAATTGTGAGTTAAAACTGAGTAAAGCTGCCTAAAAATGACCAAAGATGGAATTGTAACTCCTCATGAAGGAATGTACTGTTGTGACAGTATGGGGAAAATCAGTTGGGGGAGGGGGTGGGAATTGGGAGGAAGGGAATTCCAGACTATACAGAATTGTACCATAAAATTAAAAATTTAAAATAAAAATTACAAAACAACAAATCTTTTAAAAAAGAAAAAAATTACCGAAGACACACTAAAGACATTGAGACACACACTAAAGCTGAAAGAATTACCAAAAGAATGTCCTTTTGGACGAGAGGAAATGGAAGCAGATGGAGATCTGCATGTACCTGAAGGAAAGGCGAATGCTGGCATTGGTAACTGCAGAGGGAAGTGCATGGTAGTTTATGCTTTATTTTTGTTTACACTTGACTGTATTTGCTCTGTATTACTGTGTAACAAATTAAACTTCAATGAACACTCCCTTACTAGCTCCCAGTTCTGTGGGTTGGAAGTCACCACGACATGGCTGGGTCCTCCACTCAGGGAGCCTGAGGCTACAGTCAAGATGCTGGCTGAACTAACTATGCTGGGAGCCTGAGGCCGGCTGTACTGAGGTCAGAATCCAGGCGTGTCTGCTTGCTGGCTGCCAGGCAGGTGTTCCTCTTAGCATCAGCTCTTAGCTGCTGGAGACTGCCTTATCCTGCCACACCTTCCATGTTCCCGCTAGTGACACCTCACACTCACCATGTTTGACTGTTTCAGATTCCTTGATTTCCCTTCTGTGATGGGATGGAGAAAGTGCTTTTCTTGTCCTTAATGTAAGAGCATAACATAATAATAGGCTTGTTTATTTCTTCAAAAAGGGGCAGGTGAGGGTATATTTGTAGTGATAGGAATATGGTTGATAAATTCCAAGTGGAGTTTAACCTGGAATTCTACAGACTAAGGGGATAAAGGCCCACATTCTGCCATCTTAGTATTGTGGGTTTATTTATAGAATGGCTGGTGTTCTCTGGATGGCAGTTCAGAGCATTCCCCCCAAACCCCAGCATCACTTACTGCCTAATGCTTATTTCTTTTTCCCCCCAAGAAAGTGCCAGCAAGGACAAGAAGACATGGAAGCTGAATGGCCAACTGCCCGGTCCCAGGTAAGCTGTGTTGCTCTTTTTGTTTTCCAACTGGGAATTGCTTTTTGCTAACAACCTCAAAAATGTTATCTCTGATCCTATCTCTTCAGGGAATACGACCATTTTGTTTCCTTTATTTTTTTAAACGTTAAAACGTTTTCATATATATTGTTTGCATAATTGAGAGGGATGTTCACACATGTGGGCTAGATTTTGGTAGGTAGGGTTGGATATGCAGGAAGTTAGGTGGGACATTTCATATGTCCTTCTGTGTCCACAGGGGAGGAGGGGGAGAGGGCTATTCCTCACTCTCAAATTACATCAACACCCAGGGATAGTAAGTGGTCATTTGATGCTGTTTAAGAGATCCCAGTGTGGGGAAGAGTGTTCTGAGGATGTTATTTGAGTGTTTTAATAGCCATGAGATGTTATCAGTTTTATTGCTCCAGGTTTGAGAAATCTTTCCAAAGTTCACCTTGGTACATCCACAGATCCAGGAAATATGCTGCAAAGCTTGGTCAGGAGAATTGTGCAAGCTTTTCTGACGAGGCAGTCAATGTCTTCTGCTGGCCTAGATGAGCTGACTGTCATGTCCCTAGTGTGCATTGGGCATGCCACACAGGCTTCAACAATTGAAGAGGCCCAGTCCTCATACGTGCACTCCAAGGTTGGACCACACATCCTGTGATTCTCCCTGTGGCTTGCTTCTGAGTCCAGTAGTCTAGTTGGGGAGTCCCCCAAGAAACCTCACCTGGGCTGACCTCAGACTTGACTCTTGTATCTACCAGCTAGATGGAAGATTCTGTCTAGAGACAGAGGAGTCTCTCTTTCTGTTTCTCCTTTTCTGTAAATTTGCCTTTCAAATCTAATTTGGCAGTCTGTGACTTTTAGAGTGCTTACACTGTTGGCATTTTTGAACTTAAGGGTATTACTAGATTCCATGTTTTTTATATATCCGTATCTGCCATTATCTGTAACTGCCTTTATTTTAATTATTTGAATATTTATTGTTAATTATCATTTGTAGTTTGGCTTTTTTTTTTAAGATTTATTTATTTATTGGAAAGTCAGATATACAGAGAGGAGGAGAGACAGAGAGGAAAATCTTCCGTCCGATGATTCACTCTCCAATTGAGCGCAATGGCCTATGCTATGCCAATCTGAAGCCAGGATCCAGGAACTTCTTCCGGGTCTCCCACACGGGTGCAGGGTCCCAAAGCCTTGGGCCATCTTCGACTGCTTTCCCAGGCCACAAGCAGGAAGCTGGATAGGAAGTGGTGCAGCCAGGATTAAAACCGGCGCCCATATGGGATCCTGGTGCGCTCAAGGTGAGGACTTTAGCCGCTAGGCTACGCCACCGGGCCCCCTACTTTATTTCTTTGTCCAAACTTTAGCAGCTACTTTGATATAATCACCTAGCTTTTCCACTGTTTTCCTACCTATTAGTGCACAAAGAAAATATTTTAGCTATTTTAGGTCATAAAACATGGCTGGAGTGGCAAGTGTTCAGCATGAAGAGACTCTTCTTTTACTTTCTAGAGTTCTTAATTCACATATTTAAAACATGGGTTACTTTTACAATCTGATTATCTCTTGTATGGCAGTTTGAAACAAACCTTAGATCAAAATGCTCATGATGGTTTCTTAATTTAAAATTCCCATGGGGCTGTTTTTTTGGAAGAGCAGTCATTGCCTTTAGGGCTTAACAAGATCCCTCGCAACACACACTACTGAAATGACTTCTGGCCTGTACCCTTGCTTTGCTACAGTGCCGTTAGCCTAAAGTCTCTTGTGTTCGTTTACTCATTTAGAAAGGATAGAGGTTTCTGTGCTTCATGGTCTAGAGACTGGCGTCTGTAGCACATGAGGTAAGAGCCTTCCTAGGGGGTGTTCAGGTCGTACTTGGTGCCAGCATGGGTCTCTCTGAGCCTCCTTTCCACCTTGGTGAAAGATTCTGGGGCATCACTGTTTCTGTAGAGAGTTGGCTGATGGTGTCAACCCTTTTCCCAGGGCCTTGCCATGGTATCAGGTTGGTAGATGTGGGAGGGTTGGGGGAAGAATCAAATACTTGCACAATGAAAATAATCACAGTTAAATGTGAGCTGTTCACACACACACACACACACACACACACACACACAAGAGCTTGCTGGTTGCATCGTAACATGGCGGTGGTCCTTACAAGGGAATGCATAACTAGTGGACTACCTTGTGTGTTTCTTCCCCTTTTCTTTTTCCTTTTTTTTTTTTTAGGATTTACTTATTTTTACTTGAAAGGTAGATTTTTACAGAGAGAGAAGGAGAGGCACAGAAAGAGAGGTCTTCTAACTGCTGGTTCATTTCCCAAGTGGCCGCTACAGCCACAACTGAGCCAATCTGAAGTCAGGAGCTTCTTCCAGGTCTCCCAGGGTCCTAAGCACTTGGGCCTTTCTCTGCTGCTCTCCTGGTCCACAAGCAGGGAGCTGGAACTGTGGGATGCCAGCACTTGCAGCTGGAAAATTAGTCTGTTGAGTCACACACTTGTTCCTGCTTCTTCTTCTTCTTCTAAATTTATTTGAAAGGTAGAACTACACAGAAAAGTAGAGTGGAAGGTCTTCCATCCACTGGTTAACTCCCTAGATATGAGCAGAGGGCTGAGTGAAACAGCTAGAAGTGAAACAGCTAGAACTTGAACTGGCTACTCATGTGGAATGTCAGCTTTGCAGGTTATGGCTTAACGGGCTGTGCCACGGGACTCAGGGAAGAAAGCCAGGGTACACGGCTGAATCCAAACAACTTACCTGATGTTGCAGATACTGGTGACCTTCAAGGATGTGCTTGTACACTTCACCAAGGAGGAGTGGAAGTTGCTGGACACTGTGCAGCAGCTCATGTACAGGGACGTCATGTTGGAGAACTACGAGAACCTGCTTTCCTTGGGTAAGACTCTAATCTCTTGTTGTTTTTTGGTATTTACAAAGAATTATTTGTTTGAAAGGCAGAGTGATAGAAGGAGAGACAGAGGAAAGAGATTTCCCTCTGCCGGCTCACTTCCCAGATGACCAAGACCTGGGCCAGGCTGAAGCCAGGAGCCTTCAACTCTATCTAGCTCTCCTGCATAGTGGCAGCAACCAAGTGCTTAGGTCATTTTCCACTGCCTTTCCAGGAACACTAGTGGGGAGTTGGATTGGAAGTGGAATAGCTGGAACATGAACTGGATGAGATGCTGGCAGTTGCAGGTAGAGGGTTAGGTAGAGGCACCACACCAGCCCTGATCTCTGGCGTTGAAGGAACATATCATGAAGATGGGCTTGGGCGTCTGAGGCTTAATATGTTTGAGGCATAGAACGATATTTTTCTACTACTTTGTGGAAAATTTATTTATTTTTTAAAGTGTGTCTCTTCCTCTACACCCTTACTTTTTTGATCTTTCAGTCCCTATCACTCAGTTAGGGTTGGGTAGACTGTGGGATGCTTTGTGTGCACCCCTACTTTCTCCAGCTCTTACCCAAACCTTTGTCTTTCACTGGGCACAGGCTTCCTGCTTCCTAAGCCAGATGTGATCCTAAGGCTGGAGAAGGGAGAAGAGCCCTGGATAGTGGGCAGAGGCTTTCATGGCAGGACGTGTTCAGGTAAGAACTAGACCGAGGCCAGCGAGGGTCTGGGATCTCTGCACATAGTGACCCAAATTTTCCTTACAGGTGCTTGCTTCTTGGGAGGAGACTAAGTTTTTTTTTGCCTTCTGTGTCCACGTTGCTCCTCTCCTTTCTGCAGTCCTGCATTGGTTTGTTATCAGAGATCAGGGATCTTGCTTTTTCATTAAAATTCCCTTCCTTGATGTGTTTTGTTTTAGCCCTGTGAATTTGCTTTTCTGATCATCACTGCCAACTCTGGCATCCCAACTCAGTCCCACTGCTTGTCTTTGCTCCTTTACTTCCCATGTAGACTCTTCCCTTACTTCTCTCTGTAAACTTGTGGGTGGCACTCCTGGCCCTCTGCAGAGGGCGTACAAGCTGCATGCTGGCTTAGCTGTTGCCTCTTGCAGAAGGGACCTTCTCAGAAATGCCTGGTTTTCCCACTTAGGCTTTATTCAGTTCATTTTAATGTTCATTTTAATGTTAGTACCTACAGGATGCAAGTTATTATGTTTACAAACATAGTTTCTTTTTAAAAGATTCATTTATTTTTATTGGAAAGGCAGATATACAGAGAGGAGGAGAGACAGAGATGAAGATCTTCTGTCCAATGATTCACTCCCCAAGTGGCTGCAACAGCTGGAGCTGAGCCAATCTGAAGCCAGGAGCCAGGAGCTTTTTCCAGGTCTCCCACATGGGGGGAGTATCCCAAAGATTTAGGATGTCCTCGATTGCTTTCCCAGGCCACAAGCGGGGAGGTGGAAGGGAAGTGGGACCACTGGGATTAGAACCAGCGCTTGTATGGGATCCTGACATGTTCAAGGCGAGGACTTTGGCTGCTACACTATTGTGCTGGGGCCCACAAACATAGTTTCTTCACCCTACTTTGCTTTGTGTATGAGGAAATATATACAGGGAAAATTGGCTTTTTAGGGTGAAAAAAATGGAAAGTTTTCTTTCAACATCCTGCTTCCTTATTCTGTAAGTAATATCTTTGACTTTTCTAAAGCTTATTAAATAAATAAATAAATAAAGCTGCTGTTTTCCTTTTTCTTATCCTTCTCTTTGAAAAGATTTATTTATTTTTACTGCAAAATCAGATGTACAGAGAGAGGAGTAGAGACAGAGGAAAATCTTCCATCCGCTGGTTCACTTCCTGAGTGACCACAATGGCCGGAGCTGAGCCGATCAGGAGCCTCCTCCGGGGCTCCCACGCGGATACACGGTCCCAACGCATTGGGCCGTCCTCAACTGCTTTCCCAGGCCACAAGCAGGGAGCTGGATGGGAAGCAGTGTGGCCAGGACACAAACCACTGCCCACATGGGATCCTAGCATTTGCAAGGTCTTTAGCTGCTAGGCCCTTCTTCTTCTTCTTCTTTTAATATTTATTTATTTAAAAGTCAGTTACACAGAGAGAGGGAGATACAGATCTTGTATCCATTGGTTCATTCTCCAAGTGGATGAACGTTCGGGCATGTGCCAGTCCAAAGCCAGAATCCAGGACTTTCATTGGTCTCCCATGCAGGTGCTGGGGCATCCTCCGCTGGTGTTCTAGGAACATTAGCATGGAGCTGGAGTGGAGTGGAGTCAAAGCTCTAACATGGGACACTAGCTTAACTCACCGAATCACAGTGCTGGCCCTGACATCTTCCTTCATAGCTATCTTGGATGTTGCTGTCTCAATCAGTGCAAACAACCTCTTTCTTAGGAGAATGGGCAAGATACACACCATTGACTCAGTCAGTGGGCTGTTTCTCCAATAGCTAATGTACACATAGGTCAGGCATTTCCCTAAATCCCGAACTCTGAGTGTAATCCAAGTCAAATCTACTATTTTCTTTAAGATTTATTTTTTTTTTAATTTGAAAGGTAGAGTTAACAGAGAGGGAATGAGAGAGAGATCCCAACTGGTTCAGTCAGAACTGGCCACAGTGGCTAGAGTTTGGCTGGTCTAAAGCTGGGAGCCCGGGGTCCAATTGCTTAGGCCATCTTCCCAGGCACATTTTCAGGGAACTGGATTGGAAGTGGAACAGCTGGGATTTGGACCACTCCATACATAGGATGTGGCACTTCAGACAAAGGATCAACCCCTTTGCATGATGGTAGCCTTTGTCCAAGTCTTAGTTGTCCTCTGAGTTTAACCTCAATTGTTTCTCTGAAAACTTCCGTAACCCCTCATGTGTGAGTAAGATCCTTTCTCTATCAATTTCCACTTACTGAACTCTTCATTTAGAAATATCATAAACTGGGCCCAGCGCAACAGCCTAGTAGCTAAGTCCTTGCCTCACATATGCCAGGATCCCATATGTTTGCAGGTTCATATCCTGACTACTCCACTTCCCATCCAGCTTCCTGCTTGTGGCCTAGGAACACAGTCAAAGAATGTGCAAAAGCCTTGAGTCCCTGCACCCGTGCGGGAGACCAAGAAGAATCCCTTAACTCCCAGCTTTGGATCAGCTCAGCTGTGACCATTTTGGCCACTTGGGGGAGAGAACCAGCAGATGGAGGATCTTTCTGTATCTCTTCCTCTCTAAATGTGATGTTTCAATAAAGATAAATAAATCTTACAAAGTATATTATAAACTGTGTTTTAATAATTATCTTGTTGGATGGTTGTGAGAAATTCTTTTCTCAAGGATTGTCGCTGTGGCACAGTGAGTTAAGCTGCCATCTGAAGCACCAGCATCCATATAGGTGGCAGTTTATGTCCCAGCTGTTCCACTTCAGATGCAGCTCCCTGCTTATGATCTGGGAAACCAGTGGAGGATTGCCCAAACGCTAGTGCCCCATGTACCCACTTGGGAGACGTGGACGAAGAGCCTGTCTTTTAGTTTGGTTTGGACCATCTCTGGCTGCTGCAGCCATTTGGAGAGTGAACCAGTGGATGGAAAATTTCTCTCTGTCTGCCTTTCCCTCTTTCTGTAACTCTGCCTCTCAAACATATAAAAAATGAAAAATGTTTTAAAAAAAATAGGATACCACTTAAGATTCCCATATCCTATCACCAGAGTGCCTTGGTTCAAGTCTCAACTTCATGTAGGATTCCAGCTTCCTGCTAGTGTGCGGTCTGGGGAAGGAGCCAATAATGATGTGGCTGGGTTCCTTGGGTTTATTTGGAGACCCCAGTTGAGTTCCCTGCTCTGGCTTCAGCCTGGCCCAACCCTGGCTGTTCTGTGCATTTAGGCAAAATAGGAAATCTCTATCTCTGGACTTTGAATGGAAAATAAGAAAGAGAGAGAAAGAAATCAATAAGTAGAAGCTAGGAACTTACAAAGATGTGGATGAAAATGAGAACTGAGGGGATACAGGCACTGACTGTCCTTTCAGCCTGTCGACGCCACTTCTCTTCTACTGCTGTCACCTCTAAGTCTGCATCTCCTCAGGAATCCAGAGCTGTTCAGGCTTTTCCTCTGAGGTCTCAGCTTTGAAAAAGGGAGCATCTGAGGAGCCCTCCTGAGAATGAGGAATGTTCACAGGTGCTGCTCTTGGGACATCCACACAAGCAGAGACTGGGGCTTGTAGCCTGGTCACCAACAGGGAGGCAGATGCAGCCAGAAGTGCAAGGACACACAGCGGACGGAAGAGTTGTGGAACCAGAGGGCCCCATCAGAAGATTTTCAAAGACAGGGCAGCTGTCCAACTGTGAAAAAGATCTTTGTGGGTTTAGTGTGATGGCTCAATGGCAAAATGCTTGCCAAGTGCTGGGATCCCATATGGGCACTGATTCCTGTCCCCAGCAGCTCCACTTCCCATCCAGCCCCTGTTTGTGGCCTGGGAAAGTAGTCGAGGATGGCCCAAAGCCTTGGGACCTGCACCCGCGTGGGAGACTGGAAGAAGCTCCTTGCTTCAGATTAGCAACAGCTCTGGCTGTTGCAGCTGTTTAGAGAGCAAACCAGCAGATGTAGGGTCTCTCTTTCTGTCTCCTTCTTTACATATCTGCCTTTTCAATAAAAGTAAATTTTAAAAAGAAAGAGATCTTTGTTGTTGGTGTTAAAGAAGAGCATCACCTCAGGTTTTTTTTTAGCAGAATAGGAATCCTGGAATGACTGAGATAGTGACTGATTGAGGCAGTGGCAGTAAGAGGGGCTTTGTTTTTGTGATCTTTGATGACCATGGCTCAGTGGAGAAGATTGTCATCAGATACCACCCTGTTGATTTTCTTTCTTTCTTTTTTTTTTTTTTGGCTCACAGTGTAGCTTTTTTTTTTTAAAATTAATTACATTGCATTATGTGACACAGTTTCATAGGCTCTGGGATTCCCCCATCCCCTCCCCATGCCCTCCCCCCATAATGGATTCCTCCACCTTGTTGCAGTATTGTAGCTCAAATTCAATCAAGATTCTTACAATGCAAGCATATACCAAGCATAGAGTCCAGCATCTCATTGTCCAGCTAAATTCATCGATTTCTTGGGGAGACCATCTCTGGTCTGAAGGTAGAGCTGTCAGAATATCATCCTGATCAATTAAAAGCCCCAACATAGCATCAACAACAATTTACAACATTATGGAATTAATTGACATGGTATTGAGTAACAAATATGTTAGAAAATGCAAGTTCATAACCACATCCTGTGACTACTTCATTGACATTTCAATTTTGATTTATATACAACCAGCTTCTATACACCTTTAAATGGCAATGCGGTACTATTCAGCTGTCTTGTGTCTATTTTCATTTTAGTATTTAGGGGTTTATAATGTTGTAATATAATTTTGCTGAACTTGGCAGTTTTTAGGGTAGTCTAAACTGGCTTATAACTCTAACAAAGCATATGTCATATGTCAACAGTTTAGGTGCAGAGCCGTTTTAGGAGGGGTGTGCAGAGAAATCTTCAATACCCTGGTGAGGAATAAAACCCTGTTGATTTTCATAATTGTGACTTGAAGGAAACCCTGTCAAAGCAGGAGATGGCTAATGCTCCATTTACTCCAAGAAATTGAGTCGGGGACAGTGTTGGGGCATAGTGAGTTGAGGCAATACCAGCATCCCATGTGGGCACTCATCTGAGTCTCAGCGGTTTCTCATCTATCTCCTTGCTAACGCACCTGGGAAAACATCAGAAGAAGGCCAATTGCTTGGGCCTCCGTACTCAACGTAGGTGAGCTGGATGAAACTACTGGTTTGTGGCTTTGGGCTGGCCCAGCCCTGAGTGTTGTTGCCATTTTGGGCAAGTGAACTAGTGGACAGAAGGTCTGTGTTTCCTTCTCTCTTTCTAACTCTGCCTTTCAAATCTGTCAGTCAATCTTAAAATAAGAAGGTTGAAGTGATTCTGGAAGTGAGCCTGGTGACAATGACAACTGATGTAGAAGGAGCCTCTGTGCTTGTGGCTTTGGCAGCAGCCATGAGAGTAATGGATGTGGCGAAAGTAGGGACGGTCACCATGATGGTGAAAGTTACAGTAATTCTGGCCATTAGAACAGGCGGACATCAGATTTTGTATCCATAAAAGGAGGAAGCTTTGGAAGCAGAAATCCTGACACTTTGAAGATGGCAACCAGTATTTTGCCAAACCATGAAATCAAGATGGTTATGGTAGTTCAAGCAGTAGCTGTGTCAGTCGCAGTTTTTAATGGCTGCCAGAAAATAATAGAAGTGGCAGGGAAGATACAGGTTGTAACAGATTTGTGAACTCAGTTAAATCCAGTGGTGGTATAATACTCATATGTATAGCAAAGAAATCTTAAGTTCTGAATTTGTGATTAATATATAACAACTTATTTTAGTTTCTATTTTGTTGAAAGCATGTCAACAAAACCTTTAATGTAGTTTTATGTTTTCTGTATCATGCTATTGATGGTTAAATGTAATAATGTTATCATGGCACTGACTAAAGGTGTCTTTTGAAAAAAAAAATTAGGACTAAGGTGGGATTATATGAAGAAATCACAGGACCCATTTAACAAGTCAGTAGTTTCATAGGACTACTATAACAAAATGCTTGTCAGGCATTCCTAATCAAAAATCTGAAATCCTGCTGAATCCAGAAATTTTTGATGTTGTGTCTTAATGTTTGGGTGAGAAGGTGAGAATGCCATCCTTTCTTTGGAACTCTCCTTACTGGTGCCCCACCATCTTCATCATCCCATCTGTCACACTCAGTCCTGTGGCTTCTCTGAACTTCTTGTTCCTTTGTGTGCTTCCCAACTCGCTGCATTTGTGTTTCCGCATCTGCCTTTCCTTTTGTCCTTCACTTTTGAGGTTATAAAGCCGTATTTGAAAATAAGCCTATGTGTGTCTTAGTCTCCATTTTTCCATTTTCACCTTAACATTTACTTATATAAAGTTTATCTTTTGTTTTTAGATTGTGCTACTGGAGTAGAAATTAAATCAGTTTCCAGTAAGAGCATTTCTAAAGATGAACAGAAAGGAATGAAAATGAAAGAAACAGCAAGGAATGATCTGTGGTATTTGTCATTAGAAGAGGTCTGCACAACTGAAGACCAAGTGGACAGGTATCAGCAAAACCAAGAGAGACCTTTGAGGCAGGTGGTATTCACCCAGAAGAAATTACTTACTCAGGAGAGAGTCTCTGGAAGTGGTGAATATGGAGGAAACTGTCTCCTTCCTGCTCAGCTCGTACTGAGGGAATATTTCCATAGACATGATTCACATCCTAAAAGTTTACACCATGATTTACTTTGTAATGGTTATCAGGAAAGCTGTGCAGGTAACAGTAATAAATGTGATCAAAACTTCAGTCAAAACTTTCACCTTATCCAATACACAGAAGACAATGCCTGCAAGTGTCTTGATCAGGATAATTCTCTTAGTCATGATTCATCTCTTGTGATATCAAAGGTCATACACAGAGAAAAACCATATGAATGTAAAGAATGTGGAAAGTTCTTCAGCTGGCGCTCTAATCTGACCAGGCACCAGCTCATTCATACTGGACAGAAACCCTATGAATGTAAAGAATGTGGGAAATCTTTCAGCCGTAGCTCTCACCTCATTGGACATCAGAAGACTCATACTGGTGAAGAACCCTATGAATGTAAAGAATGCGGAAAATCCTTTAGCTGGCTCTCTCACCTCATTACCCACCAAAGAACTCATACAGGAGATAAACTGTACACATGTAACCAGTGTGGGAAATCTTTTGTTCATAGCTCTCGACTTATTAGACATCAGAGAACTCATACTGGAGAGAAACCCTATGAATGTTCTGAATGTGGCAAATCTTTCAGACAGAGCACACATCTCATTCTTCACCAGAGAACTCATGTGAGAGTGAGGCCCTATGAGTGTAATGAATGTGGAAAGTCTTACAGCCAGAGGTCTCACCTTGTTGTGCATTATAGAATTCACACTGGACTAAAACCTTTTGAGTGTAAAGACTGTGGGAAATGTTTTAGTCGAAGCTCTCACCTTTTCTCACATCAGAGAACCCACACTGGAGAGAAACCTTATGAATGTCATGATTGTGGGAAATCCTTCAGCCAGAGTTCTGCCCTTATTGTGCATCAGAGAATTCATACTGGAGAAAAACCGTATGAATGTCATCAGTGTAGGAAAGCCTTCATCCGGAAGAATGACCTCATTAAGCATCAGAGAATTCATGTTGGAGAAGAGACCTATAAATGTAGTCAGTGTGGCATTATCTTCAGCGAGAATTCTCCATTTATAGTACATGAAATATCTCATACTGGAGAGCAGTTCTTAAAGTGCAATCAGTGTGGGGCAGTGCTCGTTAAGAGCCCTCACCTTACTAAACATCAGACAAACCACTAATGAAGACCCTAATACCACAAATAAAGAAAACTCCCGAGGAATGATGTTTTTGTGTTACAGATGTTCTGGAGGGAAGCTGTAGAAATACAATGTGTGTGGAAATGCTTGTTATTACTGTAGTGCACATTGGAGAATTTGTCTTGGGGTGGGGAGCTGCACAAACATTTCAGAAACACTTCAGATTTTCTATTTTCATGAATATCTGCTAAAGTAATTGGGATGGGAATGTTCTTAACTAAACTTTTAAGTGCTAAACCTGAGAAGGAATCATAAAGTGGATGTTGAACAAATGTAACCCAGCTTCAATACAATGAGTAAATGTGTCACTGAAGGGAACATTTTGCTGAGAATTAATAAATTGGTAGCCATTACTGCATCGAGAGAAGTAGCCGTCCAGTGAATTACTATGGCATTGTGCCTTTCTTCTGGGGCACTTGGTGCTTGGTATGTTTTACGTGTCTTGTATCAACCACATCTTGATGAGAAGCACTGGAAATGCCTATAATATAAAAACATTTACATTTACACTTGTTGAAAATTCCATGTTTAAACATTTGTGTATGTACATTTGGCATAACATTTTTCACTTCAGTTGGACTGCTATGTCCCATATCAGAGGATCTGGGTTTGAATCCTGGCTCTTCTACTAATTCCAGCTTCCTATTGGTACATAGTCTGAGCAGTGAGGGGTGATGGCTCTCTTAGCTGGGTACCTGCCACTCACATGGGAGACCTAGGTAAGTGCCTGGCTTTTAGGGGCATTTAGGGATTGCACCAATATGTGGAATGTATCTCTTCCCAGCTTTCAAATATGTTTGCATGGGAGCAAAGATTGAAAGTATAAAAAAATGAATTGAGAGTTGTTAGAGGAATTATGAGTTTTACATTCTAGTGCTGCTGTAGTAATTATTTTAAGATGTTTTCAGATACTCAGAAGGTGATCTGATATTGTCTATACTATTAAGGAATCTCGAGAACCAGCTGCTGGCAAACTTGGGCCACAGAATTAGTCTTTTGAGACCTGGCACCCAAGGCTCTAGGAATTTAACAGTAATTGATTCTTGACACTAGAGGAGTATTGGGCATGTGGATAGATCAAGGCTCAACTTGAGTGGAATTTGGTGCCTGGAAATGTTGAACTATGGTGCTCAGGAGGTAGCAGCTCTGTCCAAAGGCATCCTTTTTCTCAAGGCTGTCTATAGAGGAAATACTGGGCTGAGAGTAGAGACCTGAGCTACACTTCTCAGGGTTAAATCCTGCCTCTGCACCGTGTAGCAGAGTGATCTTGGGCATGCTGCTTGATTTGTACTTAGCCAAAACTTTCCACGAAGTAGAAACAATGATGTACTTACTTCCTGTGCTGTGGTGGCACTGAATGACAAGAGCTTAGATTAGCACCTGATGCACAGAATGACAGCTTTATAATAAGTTGCCATTTAGTAAGGCATTGCTAGTACGCAGTCACTAGGAGCTACAGTTCCTCCTCCATCTCTGTGCTTACACACCCACTCACATACAATTTTCATTGTAAGCAGTAACTTGTTGTAAGAGTATCCTCTTGACATGGTATCTCGGATTTTTAACTTGTGGCTCATTTTCAAGGCCTGTGTAACAAGAAGATATCCAGTATCTACCTCAGAGGGTTATTGTGTGGATTAAGTGAAATAATTTGTATGAAGCATTTGGAAAGTGCCTGGTACAGGGAAGGTGCTATATGTATATGAGCTATTAATGTTGTTGAAACCCTAACTACCTAGCCTGTAATGTGAACAGAGATAGATGTAAATTATTACAGAACCACTGCATGTAAGAGTCCCCCAAAATGTAGCAGTTGATGGCACATCCATGTAACAATATTGTGCAGACATTGAAAGTACATTTGATAGCATAAGTTTGAGCACATAGAAAAAAGGATGGTGTTTGGTGTCACAAAGAAAGTATGGTAAGTGTCAATAAAAATGCCTTGTGGGAAGAAGACTGTTGCTCAGAATTGTTCAAGTATATAGTGACAATTTAAATATCTAACAAGGGCTTGTATCCAAAATGTAAGAATCTTTATGAAGAAAACCATTTTTTCACAGTGCAGAAGATTTTCAAAAATGGTTCACATGCAAGAAATACCTTTGCCTGATCATTAAATAAAAGGAGAAGTGGTCAGCATCAGGAGGGAAATGCAATTTTTTTTTAAGATTTGCTTATTTTTCTTGGAAAGTCATATTTACAGAGAATGAGAGACAGATCTTCCATCCACTGGTTCACTCCCCAAGTGGCCACCACAGCCAAAATTCGTCTGAAGCCAAGAGCCAGGAGTTTCTTCTGGGTCTTCCACACAGGTGCAGGGTCCCAAGGCTTTGGGTTGTCCTCAACTGCTTTCCCAGGCCACAAGCAGGGAGCCAGATGGGAAGTGGAGCAGCTGTGAAATGAACCAGCACTGATATGGGATCCCATCGTACATAAGGGAAGGACTTCAGCCACTAGGCTATCTCATTGGGCCCATGAATCTTTTTCTTAAATATTTTTACTTGAAAGGCAGAAGCAGAGGGTTCCCTCCCAAAACAACCACAATGATTGGAGATAGGGCAGTCCCAAGCCAGGAGTTTCCTGTATGTCTCCCATGTCAGTGCAAGAATTCAGGGACTTCAGCCATCTGCTGTAGCTGCCTTCCACCACATTGGGTAACCCGTGTACTAAGAAAATCATGGACATGACACTGAATTTAGGATTTAGGGATGAGGGAATACAAGGAAGAAGCAGATGGATCCCTGCTACCCCAGGCCTCTAAGCACGTAGTCCAGTGAAGGTGAGTCCTCTCTGATGGCAATTCCCTTGCCCTTGGCTCATGCTGACGCATTTTCTGTGTATCCATCATGGCTGCCACAGTTTAGCAGGGATGGGCAGGTTGTGCAGGACCATCTACTGCTCACCCAGGTCTGCATGGGGCCACAGAATCAGTCATGAGGTTGGAGCCTCCAGGCTGCAGATCTGTGACGCACAAGTGGCATCTCCATGGATCGGTGGAGGAGCTGACACAAGCCAGTCCCCAAGTGACAGGAGTGCATGGGACTGATCCTGCTCTGCCGCAGGAAGAGCTGCCTGACAATTGCAGTGAGGGGTGAGTGGAACAGAGCAGCCCTGTGGCTGTGGGAGTGAAGGGGTTCCTTCATCGGTGGATGTGCCAGCTGGAGGGTCCATTTTCTTATTGTCAGGAAGAACTCAAAACTTGTATCCCACAAGCATAAAGCAAAGAAAAACCCTTTGCATGCAGTTACTGCAAAAAAGCCTTTAGCAGCAAGTGAACTTGCTGGTACATCAGCGAACTCACACACAAGAGAATCTCTGTGAATGTGGGAAAGTTCTCAGTAGTCAAGACCAGCTTATTTCACATCAGAGAACTCATCTGGGCTAAAGACTTTGAGTGTAATCAATGTGTAGAAACTTTGGTTTAAAATCACAGCTTATCACACATCAAAGAACTACAGGAGAGAAAGCATGTGAGTGCACCGAGTGTTGGCCCTAATACAAGGTCAAACCTCTGGTCCATCAAAGAATCCATACAGGAGAGAAACCCTGTGACTGTAGTGAATGTGCCGTCACGTTCAGGTAACAGCTCATTGTAGTTTATGAAGAGTACCCTGAAAAAAAACCCTACAGATGCAGTCAGCATGAAAGAGCCTTCAGATGAAGTCACAGCCTACTGTCCATCACAAAAGTCAGGGACAAACCTTATGTGTGTGTGTGTCATGTGGCACAAAACCTTCAAGAACAGGTCTTTCTTGTTACAGATATGAGGACTCCACAAATGCAGTGATGGAAAAGTCTTCAGCTTCAATTCAGAGCTCATTGTACGTGTGAGTGCAGTGAGTGTGGGAGACCTTTTGGTTGGAAATAACACCGGGTAACTCATTCAGTGAGAAAGTCTTATGAATGTAGAGGTTGTGGGAAAGTTTTTTGTTTGAAATTATAGCTTGCTGTACAGAAAACTCATACAGGAAAAAACCATTTGGGTATGACCAGTGTCTGAAACCTTGTAATGCAAAGTCAAACCTTACTGTACAACAAAGAATGCATGGGGGCTCAATAGCCTAGTCGCTAACGTCTTCGGCTTGCAGGCATCAGAATCCCATATAGCCTCCATTTCCCATACAGCTCCCTGCTTGTGGCCTGGGAAAGCAGTAGAGGACGGTCCAAAGCCTTGGGACCTTGCGCCCATGTAGTAGACCTGGAAGAAGCTCCTGGATCCTGGCTTCAGATCGGCTCAGCTCTGGCAGTTGTGGGCGCCAGGGGAGTGAACCAGAGGACAGAAGATCTTTCTCTCTGTATCTCCTTCTTTCTGTATACCTGTCTTCCCAATAAAAACAAATCTTAAAAATCCCTGAAGTGACAGCAGAAGAGATGCCCACAAAACAATATGGGAGAGGGGGCCCAGCACGGTAGCCTAGTGGCTGAAGTCCTTGCCTTGCGTGCCTGGAGTTCCCATATGGGCACTGGTTCGTATCCCCACAACCCACACTTCCCATCCAGCTCCCTGCTTATGGCCTGTGAAAGCAGTTGAGGACGGCCCAAGCCCTTGAGATCGTATCCTGCACCCATGTGGGAGACCTCAGAGAGGCTCCTGGCTCCTGGCTTCAGATCAGCTCAGCTTCGACCATTGCAGTCACTTGGGGAGTGAATCATTGGATGGGGGAATCTTCCTGTCTTTCTTCCTGTGTATTTGACTTTGCAATAAAAATAAATAAATCTTTAAAAAGAAATTTGGGAGAGAAACTAGTTGGAGTCACTCTATGCGTATCAGGAAATGTACATTGAACAGAAAGCTCAGAGGTGTGGCATATGCAAGGGCACATACAGGCAGCTGTTTCACACACACAAAGCAGAAAATACAGAACTCTGAATTCAGCCACCCTATAAAAATTTCCATAAATAAGTCATATGTTTTAAAAGTTTATACACATAGGGCCCGGCACGATGGCCTAGGGGCCAAAGTCCTCACCTTGAACATGCCAGGATCCTATATGGGCTCTGGTTCTAATCCTGGCAGTCCCGCTTCTCATCCACCTCCCCGCTTGTGGCCTGGGAAAGCAATCAAGGACACCCTAAATCTTTGGGACCCTGCACCCACATGGGATACCTGGAAAAAGCTCCTGGCTCCTGGCTTTGGATTGGCTCAGCTCCAGCCATTGCGGCCGCTTGGGGAGTGAATCATTGGACGGAAGAGCTTCATCTCTGTCTCTCCTCTTCTCTGTATATCTGCCTTTCCAATAAAAATAAAATAAAATTGTATTCAAGTCTGACCTGGCCCACCTTGGAAACCTACGTAGTAGGTCTGCAGGGCAAGAGTCATGTGTCCCCGCACGCAGGGGCGAGGCCAGATCGTGGGGGCCG